TGGGCTCTGGCGATCCTTCCGCCTCAGCCTTCCGAGTAGCTGGAATTACAGGCATGCGCTACCACGCCCGGCTGATTTTTGATTTATTGTAGAGATGAGGTCTCGCCAAGTTGCCCAGGCGGGTCTCGAACCCGCAGGCTCAGGCAACAGTTCCAGTCTTAATCGACGCTGGGATGGTTCTGCCTCTTAAGGTCAGGAATGACTCCCCATGGCGACTCTGGGCACACGAAGCCTCCTGAAGCTCCCAGAGGACCAAGAAACGGACACAGGCATGTATCACAGACCCCTGGATCTCTGCTGTGCCTTGCTCCCGGCCCCGCCCCCGGCCCCGACACACGCCCCCTCACGAGCACCCTCCGTGTGCCACTGATGGTGAAGCTTAGGCAGGGCTGGGGGCAGAGAGGTCAAGGCCACTGGCAGGGTTTTGGGAGTCAAGGGCCTGGCCTTGAGGTCATGAAAATCACGTGTCACCTGCACATAAAGCAGCCTGGGAGTCTCCTCACATGATCATCAATGTCCCTGAGCCCCAACTGAAAGAGCAAGAAATCTGTGGAAACATAATGATGCTGATTTCTTTGAGGAATAAGGTGCTTCCTCTTAAGTACATTCAAAAAAAGTTTAAGTAAATTTTTGAGAGAATAGGTGTATCCCTTAAAGCATCCACACTTATTTTAACCTTTATGAACCATATATTTCCTTAAACTATTTTATGCATTTTCCTATCAAACTAAAATGTCTCCTTTTTCTGTTGACTGGGGTCTATCCTTAGGAACGGTAAAAGCCACATTCAAGTTGAATTGCTATTTCTAATTTTTGAATTGGGGTCTCACTCTGTTGCCCATGCTGGAGGGCAGTGGCATGATCATGGCTCACCACAGCCTCGACCTGCTGAGCAGTTGGCACTACAGGCACATACCACCACGCCCCACTAATTTATTGAATTTTTTTGTAGAGACAAGTTCTCCCTGTGTTGCCCAGGCTAGTCTTAAACTGAGTTCAAGTGATCATCCTGCCTTGACCTCCCAAAGTGCTGGGATTATAGATGTGAGCCACTGTGCCCCTGGCTCAAGCTGAAGTTTTAAAGCTAGCTGTTTTATTAATTTGTATTACATATTTTACAAGGCCTTGTGCCAAGGTGTTTGAGTAGAGGCAGGTATAGCTGTTCTGCTACATACAAGTCCTGGTCAGAAGCAGGCTGCCATTAAGTGGTTTAGCTTCAAATTCTTCACAGACAGCCAAGGGACAGGTGACGTTCTCTCTTGTCCTGCCACGCTGTGGACTCCAAGACCACTGTCTGTATTTCTCCATGCTTCTCCTTTGTGGCCTGTGGTCTAATAGGGACTGGGCGCTCCTTAGAACTGTGTATCACGTGACAGTTGAGAGGCCCCAACTCCCCCACTTCCCCCACCTGCAGTTCTGTGCCATGTCTATTTCACCAACTGGCTGTCTTGTTCATTTTCATCTAGACTCATGATGGGTCTTTCTGGATGGCTGACACTGCCAGCGTCTAAAAGTGTGGGCTTATTTTATAGACATGCATTTTTTATTCATTTAAAATCCACATGGCTGAGCTGTCTACCTACCAAACTGTAATTAGATGTGCTAAGAGAGAAAAAGAAAGCTACCTATTTCAAGCAGAATCAAGAGCTCTGGACACAACTCAGCCTTCGAGGAGGCTATCAGAAACTGTGTTGGAGAACGTTCCCAGGTGAGGGGGGGACCTGGAGAGGCTCATCTGCCAGGGTTAGAAACAATTAAGCTAGTTGGCTTATGGGCCACGTCTCAGCCCTGTGTCCACGCACCCACCACCCCGACACCTGGAAAACACTTCCCATTGGTTGAGTGCTTAGGTTTCCAGAAGAGCAGTCTCAGCCTCCTCCGTACCCTCAGTGTGTACAGAATGGACACTGGTGTTTCCACGATTCCACCAGAGCCCAGAACGTACCACACAAGAAATCTCTGTGGAGTGATTAACTCCTCCCAGCATGCACAGTGCTTCGCAGAGATCAAGTGCTTTCACTCAAGTCTCTATCGCGCTAACACTCTCTCAGCCCTGGAGGTGGAGTCTCAGCCCCATTCACAGATCAGGAGCCAGATTCGAGCAGGGAAGTGGCTGTGCTTAAGTGTCAGGGCAGGAAACCAGGTGTTCTTTCTGTTACTCCAAGGTGGCCTCCCACGAGACAACAGGGGCCAACAGTGATGGGCCCCTGCAATGTTGCAGGTCCTCACAAACCTAACTACGAAGGGCAGAATTCTTTCCAACTTTTCAGATTAAGAAATCGTGATTCTTAAAAGTTCAATGACTTGAACAAGGTCACAGCTTCAAAATGCAGAGTGGCAGAGAGCTGAACAGTTGCCATGGGGAGCGTTGAACCCACCTTCTAGTGAACACCTGCTGGCCGCACCCAACCACACAGTGACAAACCAGCTTTCCTCAATATGTACACTGAAAACATGAGGGACACAAGGATGCTCCTCTTTTTCAAACACGGGTTTTTTTTCCCCCTGTCCTCCAAACGAAAAGCAAAGACTATTATACGGACTTAAGCAAGTTTCACTGGAATCCAGCCTCAATCTGGCTGCTACTTGTAATTCAGATCTCATTGAGTTATTACCCTCTGGCTTAGAAGCCTGGAAGGAGTGTCTCCCAGTCGCCCATCAGATTCACCCAAATCACTTCATTTGGTACCATAGGCCCTTCCCGTCGGCCTGCAGTTCCATTTCCCCTATTACTTCCTTCACTCCCATTCAGACCCCATGCACAGAAGATCCAACTGTTTTCTTTTTTTTTTTTTCAGTTGGAGTCTCACTCTGTCGCCCAGACTGGAGTGCAGTGGCCGCTCCTGGCCACCGCAGCCTCGACCTGCTGGGCTCCGGTGATCCTTCCGCCTCAGCCTTCCAAGTAGCTGGAACTACAGGCGCGCGCTACCACGCCCGCCTAATTCCAACTGTTTTCTAAACACACACCACAGCCCTGCCTGGCCTCTGGGCCTGTACCCACACTGCTCTAGCCATCCGCAATGTGAAATCTTACATATTTCTAAATCTGCATTACCTCCGTGCATCTTTCTTGACTCCTGAGTTAATTAACAGCTCTCTCTGCATTCCATAGCATGGTTATCCATTTCTCTATCACAGAATTCATCACACTGAATTATCAGCTACTAAAATACCTGTGCCCCCCACCAGAGAATGTGGCAGAGGTCAAGACTTATTAACGTCTGCATTAACCTTGCTTGGCCCAATGCCTTGTGTATGTGTATGTGTGTGTGCGTGCACACACACACACACACAGAACGTGAATGATCAATAAATACTGAATGGCTGGCTGACTGTGTAAGAACAAATTTTTCACAGTTAAACACGGCTTCAATATGAAATTCAAAACAATGAAGACAGGACTCAAACATAGCAGGGAAATAGCATACACTTTTAACTCTCAAAATAAATACTAATCAATTTTATTTTATAAATACAGATGCTGAGTTTTCTTCCAATTACCAACAGATCAGTTTCACATGCCATTTATTATTGGTGGTGGTTTTAAAAAGTATTCAAATAACTGGTTAGGTCAGGATAAATGGGCACCATTAGAACTGCTAAAAAAATTATAGCTGGATACAATCTTCCAAAACTAATATTCTGAGGGGACAAAAAAATTCTGGAATTTCCAAAGTGGTCAAAGGGAAGTGGAGAGAAAAAAACACAATCAAATATTCATTTGATAGCATTTGCCGGCTGTTAAAAGTATCTCAGCTATATAAAAACTGAAAGGGCTCTTAGCAGTTCAGAAATGGATAGTATTAAGTTTCCAATTCAACTTATATCTTCCAAGCAAATGTTATTTTCTTAGTGATTTACAAAATGAATTAAAGAGATTAGTAGGAGATAATAACTCATCATGTATTTGGCCTGGGCCACTTTAAATAGAGGCCAAACTGACTCTGCACCTTTGGAAAATGTTCAACAGAACTATTCCAGGAGACATGTCATCCTGCAGGCGCTACCCAGGTCATGGCGGAAACTGCAGACATCAAGCAAACCCACACAAAAACCCCAAACCCAAACTAAACAGACCTAGCCCTAAGCGGTGCTTGGAGGTACACGCCATTGGACAGCGTGGCTCGGAGCAAATGTGTAGGACTGTGGACGGTTCTGTGCAATTGGATCGCAATCATGGGCAGGGTTCCAGGCTGAAGGAGTGGAAAGCCACGAATCCCAGAGCCAGGGAGCCTACACGGGGGAGACCGATGTATGGAAGCCCACAGTGCCAGGCTCCACCCATGTAGGCCTGCGATGAGCCCTGTATTCATGCGTGGTCCTACTCTGCTTGGTGGTGCTAGTGCCAGGCTGGAGGGTCTGCCACTGAACACACCTAGTTAAGTTTGGCATGATGTTTATAGTTTGCCCGTCTCTGGGGAATTCATAAATCCTATGTGACTCACTTTCCATTCTTCAATATTAGCACTGACCTTCAAAACCTTTCCTTTTTGGAGTAGTTCACTGGAGGACCCTGCAACATGGTTTAAATGCAAGATGGCATCTATGTCCACCCTTTTGACTCTAAAATGAATGACAGCACAATGCAAAGAAGGTTTGAAACAGCCCCATCTCTTCATGTGGAACAAGATAGGTTTCTTCAGATCAAATTAAAGCTTTCAGTTGCTTGAGCATTGGGCTTTTCTGCTCTGCAGTAGTTCTGTGAGTTTCTACACAGAAGATAACAATGTCGCTATTGAAACTGGACCCAGGAATGCTTGGACACAAGAGAAACAGGTTATGAGACCTATGAATTAAGTTATGAAGGACACACACAGCTCCTGAGTGTACACCTGGGATGTGCCTATGTTGCTATATACAATATGTAAACTTGAAGTCAACAGCATCTGCTTAGATACAACCACAGCTTTTGTTCAGGCTAGTCCTGTCCTGATGTAACAGATGGAGACGTAAGGTCAAGAGGAATTTCAAAGCTGGGGAAAAAAAAAAATCAGGTTGGGTGAAGTAAACTTAATTTTTATTCTTCTATATAATACATGGATATATGGATAAATTTTCCTTAAAGAGTTTGCAACCCTGAGGCAATGTCCTTGGGTACATGACATATAAAGCAACAGCAAAAGAAATCTGAATGCAGGAATGACAAATGGACTTCAAAAACATAATTTAATCTTTATGAAATGACACACATGCCAATAGTACTCTATGCCTCATCTAGTCTCTTGATCTATCTCAACTGCTTTGCAGTTGGCATACTACACAGCCTGGCTCTCTACTAGATTCCATCGGGTACAGTGTCTTCTTTCTGACTGAAGTTTAATAAATTAACATGGGATTTACAGATGGGGATTTCTGTCTGATGAGTGCATCACCAGAAAGCATGCCCCGTTCTCAACCACAGCAACTGCCCACATAAAAATTCTGGCCCCCAAGGGGGATTGGGTGCCATCTGACTACAGTAGCCTTGGGATCCTTGAGGGTCCCCGGGGATGCACCAGAGGCAAGTTTTTCATCAGTTTGAGGGCCACATAAAGGGTATGGCAGGGGAGGTGGAAGGCCATGACTGACTGGAAGAGATGGAACATCATGGTCACCGGGTTAAAGAACTGGTGAATCTTAGTGCTCGGTGTTCAGGATGTATAGCCCATCCACTGGGAAGATGGGTTAGCAGTGGGTCTCCAGGCTAACTGGTGCCTGGGGTGGGGACAGATGGGCTCCTGTGCTTCTTCCTCGTCAATCTGCTGGATGGCCACGGACCCTTCAGTTGACGATGGACACCTATTTCCGAATATTTCATCTTCCCATAGTTTATAAACTATGGAGAGGGCAAACGCTTATGAGAAACTAAAGGTGAGTTCATTATATTACTTATATATTATCATCTTCCCTCTGAGGATAACATAGAAAGGTAAATAAAAAGCAGACAAGTCGCTAAAAGGTGACTTGAGCTATGAGCTCTTTCAACTAGAGGGTAACTTTTACCTTAAAATAATCATTAGGCCTGAAAAGCAAATCTTGAAAGCAAAATCTAACTTTGGCCCACTGATACACAATGATCCTGAGTCCCTCCTCTATTCTCAAGTCTGTTTTTCTGAGGAATATCCTCCATTAATATTCATCTTGTGTCATAATTATTACAAAGGGTTAAGTGCAGCTGTGTCCTCTCTGTAGGCAGTGGTCCTGCCTGGTCCTACTGTCTGTCTGTTCGCCTCACTTATCGGAACTCCTGCGAGGCCGGCGGAAGCTGGATACATTTTCGTTCAGTGCATATATCCTTCGGGAGAACTCTTCAAATTCCCCCAGAACTTGTTCATCACATTCCACTGCCACGGCGCTGTCCACGGGGATGCAGTTAAATGCTTCGAGCTGATCACCCGAGGTGAAACCCGTGGCTTCCAGCCCAATGATTTCCTCTGCTTGCTCCACAGTGCAGCAGAGCTCAGCCTCCGAGACCGGATGGAATGCACCGGGCAGTGGGACGCTGGCAGAGCCGGCATGCTCACCGGGCAGGAGGGTGCCATTCACAGTGGCAGGGTGTCCGGGGAGGACTTCTCCTTCTTGGCTAGGGTACGCACCCACATGGTCTCCATTTAAGCTGTCGCCCAGATTGACTCCTTTTTTCTTGCTTTCTTTGGAGAAGTCCAAGGAGGTGTCCAAGGAGCAGGACAGAGATGCTATCTTTCTGTCTGTCTCTCCCACGGGAGGGATGCTGGGCACAGGCTGGGCTAGTGCCAAGTTGTAACTGGGAGGCGGGGTTTTGTACTGGAGTCTCTCATTTTCTGAGCTAGCCCGTTTTCGATGTCCTTTGTCTGGTGAAGGGATCCCCCCGGAGAAGCCCATGTCGGCACCCCCAAAGACGGAGCTTTGTCTCTTTGGAACAGGGATTGCACTGGAGGTGTGATGTCTGTCACTAGAAGACAAGCAAAAATAAGAAGTTACTTTCTATGTCAGAACTCAGGTAAAGTCTTCTGGATCCAGAGACAGGAAACAGCATATTTGGGTCTGAGATATAAGAATAGATCATCAATCTTAGACTATTTATTGTAGTGTCTGAATGCAAAAAACAACATGAGGCATGCTGGGTCCAACTTTGGGAGCCTCCTTCGAGAAGGACACAGATACACGGCAACGTATTTAGAGAAGAGTGCCCAGGGTGGGATGGGGACAGGAACTGTGTCACATGGGGAAAAGGTGACATGACAGGGCAGATTGATCAGGAAAGAAAAACTTGCGACGCATGTAATCAATTTCATATTTCTACAGGGCTAGCAATATTCTCCTTCTCATCTTTAATATTCAGTTCTTATTGTAGCTCGGGAAAGCCGTCATTGGCATTGGGCAGAGCATGAAATGACTTGCCTGAGATAACTCAGTGAGGGGGTGACAAGGCTAGACTAAAACCTGTGATGTGACTTGATGATCAGCGCCTTTCTAACACCCAAATGCTAAGCACCTTGCACCAGAGACCTGGCAGGTAGAAGATCAAGCAGACATTTTTAAATTAAAAAACTGTTTTGAAGTGAAATATTAACTTGGGAAATGGCTTCTCCTTTATGAGGCTAGCCACACATGTCTTATAATACTTAGTCTTCGATGCCGATATTTTAAGTGTGAGTTACTTCTCAGGAAGGTATCTTTGGGCCAGAATAATCATCATTGTTCAGCTAGACAAAGCCTGTTGTTTCTGAAGTAATTTCATAGACATCATCTCACTTGGTCCTTACAAAAGCCCTGTTGAGAAAGCAGGCTATGTTATGACACTGAAGTCTGAGATAATACTAATCAGTTAATGGAAACAGAGTATCCAGATCCTGAAAATGATGGCTATGTCATACACTGTGCCAGCTAAGCCATCCAGAACACTGATCACAGTTCTAGGTATTACTATTATTGTTACTATTATTATTATTTGAGTTGGGGTCTCACTCTGTTGTGCAGGCTGAGTGCAGTGGCACAATCACAGCTCACCACAGCCTCGAGCTCCTGGGCTTAGGTGATTTTTCTGCTTCAGTCTCCTGAGTAGGTGGGACTATAGGTGTGTGCCACCATGTCTGGCAATATTATTTTTATTTTTTTTTTGAGTTGGAGTCTCACTCTGTCGCTCAGACTGGAGTGCAGTGGCATGCTCCCTGCCACCGCAGCCTTGACCTGCTGGGCTCCGGTGATCCTTCTGCCTCAACCTTCCAAGTAGCTGGAACTACAGGTGTGCGCTACCACACTTAGCTAATTTTTGATTTATTGTAGAGATGGGATCTTACCAAGTTGCCCGGGTAGGTCTTGAACCCATGGGCTAAGGCAATCCATTCGCCTCGGCCTCTCAAAGTGCTGGGATTACAGGCTGAACCACCGAGCCCGGCCTATTTTTCTTTTTTTGTATGCTACCCAGGTTGGTCTCAAACCATCCTCCTGCCCCAGCCTCTCAAGGTGCTGGGATTACAGGCATGAACCACCATGTCCAGCCTAGATATTATTAGTTGTAGATGAAATCAGTCAGTTTCAGTACAAACGTATGGACAGGCTGGCCCACAGGCAGAACGGTGCAAGCAGAAGATAATGTGACTTGTGTCCTTCAGGTGGAAATACACACAGAAGTGTCGTGACTTGCAAAAGGCAACCCCTAGGCAGGACCTGAAACTCCATACCCAATAAAAAGTCACTTCCTGGGCCAGGTCTTGGGGAAGGGAGATAGGTGCATGACAGCAGGCCCTGCCTCCAAGGAGCTACTCATCTTACAGGAGAAAGACATCCAAAATTATTCAAATAATACTATGCTTGCAAAGCACGGTTGTAATAAGTGCCTCGAAAAAGAAAAGACCAGGGTCCTTCTCCCCGTGTCCACAGCCTCCAGTTCCCTGTTCCCTTTCTCTCAGATTTTTTCTGACACTGAATTATATCTGTGATCTCAGATACCTGAGCAAGGGTTACTCTTCTTGGGAAAAGGCTGCTGCAAGATTTCTAATCCGTGAGCCCACTGGGCTCCTTTACTTGGCTACTGGCGCCAGGAGATTTCATAATAAGGGGTGGTCACGGGGGTACACATAGAACCCAGCAAGTAGACAGTAAATTACCATTTTCAGTTTTCCAGGAAAACAAAACAGAGCAAAATCTGCTGGCCTTCATCTAGGTTTTCAGCTAATATGTTGTCAAAACCCACAGTAACTGGGTGAGCTACACTTTCTGTTTTTCACCTCACCACTTGCTGACAGTGTCCCACTTCACACAATTCTGCAGGTTGGCAAGGTAATCAAGCCCACAAGGAACATCAGCACCACCCGCAGTCTGTTCTGTGAAGATGAGCCAAGCGTTCACTTGCCAGCGCAGCCCAGGAGCGGTGGAAGCGCTAGGTGAGCCAGCCTGGAACACTGAAGGTGACGTTGGGTGTGGCCTGAGACGGGTGTGACTCGAGCCAGGTGAACTACCACTCATGGCTGTGACCCTGTGCTGCCATCCCCTTGCCCCACCCAGGCATCCTACTCTGCTTCCTGCTGGGCTCCCTGTGGGCTGATAAAAGGCCATGAGGAAAGGGCTGGACACACCTAGCAGTGCTCCCCACACAGGAGGAAGTGAAGTTTTGTAGCCCCCATTGGTTTTGAGACTCTCTGAAAGTTCTCAACTTCGTACACCAGAAAAGTAATGAAGAATGACACCCCCTTACCCCCAACTGCATGGGGAGGGAGCAGTCACCTTCCTGAGCAACAGTAGCATTTTGGGCACTGTGGAAGGTGCCTGACATACAAAGAACCTTTGGAAGAGCCCTGTGAAGAAGGTGGGCAGGCAGGTGGGTCATGTGGCTTCTCTGAGTCTGGAGAATCACATCTGAACTAGGTTTGGTCTGACTCCAGAGCCCTTGCTGTCTGTTGCGTCCCACAAGGGAACATCATATCATATCTAACTAACATTTGCCAGTTTCCACGACACGGCACACTCCAAGCTACACAGGCCTTCTCATTTACCCACAACCATATTCCTGGATGGTTCTAAGGCTTCCAGAGGTGGAGACTCTGGTATTTTCTGATTCCCTAATTTTGTGACATTTTTCTCCAGCTTCCTCGGATTTTTATGAGAACTCAGGTAATGACAGTATCAGACACAAATTGGAAAACCCAAGGACCAGTACTGTTTTCGCTGAAGAATGGTAAGAATGTGAGTTATTCTGGATAGATGATAAAGTCTACATATCTAAGTTTTATTTTTTTAAAATCACTTTTGTGTTTTTTCTCAGTTTTTAGATCTTTTTCTCCATTTTAGCTATGTGAGATGAAATCTCCCTTTTTTTTTTTTTTTTTTTTAGTTGGAGTCTCATTCTGTCACCCAGGCTAGAGTGCAGTGGCATGCTCACAGCCACTGCAGCCTCGACCTACTGGGCTCAGGTGATCCTTTTGCCTCAGTCTTCCAAGTAGCTGGAACTATAGGAGTGCACCACCACGCCCGGTTAATTTTTTTATTTATTGTAGAGACGAGGTCTCGCCAAGTTGCCCAAGTTGGTCTCAAACCTGAGGGCTCAGGCAATCCTCTCACCTTGGCCTCCCAAAGTGCTGGGATGATAGGCGTGAGCTATCGTGCCCAGCCTGAGATGAAATCTTAAAATAATTTTTATCAAAATCTTTCTTATAATCTAAAAAGAGTTGAATGAGAAAGGCATTTTCTTGTTTCTGGGACATCGATGTGAGCACATATTAATAAGTGACAGCATAGCATGGAGACACAGGACTTCCAAGGGCATCTGCTTCTCAGGACGCAGTCTGGAGGGAACCCTGGTGTGAGGTTTCCCATGTGTCCTCGCCATCAGGCCAGCATGGCTGTGTCTGTGCTTGTACCTGCAGTGCTGCTTGACTCTTAACGTTTTGCTGCTGTTTGCTGTGTGCTTGTGCAGCAGATGTCCTGAGAATTGTGTGCAGAGTAAAAGTAAACAGGGCTTGAATGACCGGCTAGGAGATGTCCTGGGCATAATATGCTTTATTATATAAGCTTTGCAACATTAGTTTTGGCTGCTCAGGATTGATTTTTTTTTATCACTTCCGGGACCTCAGCTATATTCCAGACATTTAAGGTAGCTGAGCTACAAACAGCTCAAGCATTAAATGATTACATTAACAGCAAGGCAAACAGACATGTATTTTTAAATATTACAAGTTTATGCTCACAGGAAAACTAAAAAAATAGAAACTATATACAAAAATAAAAAGCACTCAAAGTCTATTGCACATCAAATAACTGCTATTAATTTTGTATATCTTCCTCTCAAACTTTGATTTTTATATACATGTGTTTAATTTTAAAAAACACTAGGCCGGGCGCAGTGGCTCAAGCCTGATATCCCAGCGCTTTGGGAGGCCAAGGTAAATGGATTGCCAGAGCCCAGGGGTTCGAGACCAGCCCAGGCAACTTGGTGAGACCTTGTTTCTACAATATATCAAAAAATTAGCCAGGCGTGGTAGCGCATGCCTGTAGTTCTGGCCACTTGGAAGGCTGAGATGGAAGGATCACCTGAGCCCAGCAGGTCGAGGCTGTGGTGGCCATGAGCATGCTACTGCACTCCAGTCTGGGTGACAGAGTGAGACTCTGACTCAAAAAAACCCCCCACAGACCTTATTAAACTGACAAGCTTCTGCAAAGCCAAAGAAACCATCAAGAGAGCAGGGAGACAGCCTACAGACTGGGAAAAAGTATTTGCCAACACCAGGTCTGACAAAAGCTTAACATCCTGGATCTACAAGGAACTAAAACGTGCTGAAAAGAAAAAAACAAACAACCCCATTATAAAATGGGCAAAAGATATGAACAGACACTTCACAAAAGAGGACATCCGAGCAGCCAACAGACACATGAAGAAATGTTCAACCTCACTAATCATCAGGGAGATGCAAATCAAAACCACACTGAGATACCACCTAACTCCAGTCAGAATGG